GCCCCCGAGGTATCAGGATGTGTGCAGCAGCAGAGGGGAGCTCTGACACTAGCTGTGTGATTTCTGGAAAGCTCCTTTTTTTCCTCCCAGCCTCAGTTTCCCCAACTGTGAAACGGGCATAAGTACAGCTCCTCCCTCACAGGGGGAGTGACGCGGATTCTTACAAGCACATAAAATGCCCAGCACACCCAACACTTGGCATTTGGTGCACACTGATTTTTTTTTGTTAATCCGCACCCAAGGATTTTTTTCCACTGCGTTTTAGAGAGAGTGGAAAAAAGAGAGAGGGAGGGAGAAAGAGAGACATTGATGTGAGAGACACACATCGATTGGTTGCCTCCCACACAAGCCTCCTCTGTGGCTGGGGATTGAACCTGCAACCCAGGTACATGCCCTTGACTGGGAAGGGAAACCCGTGACCTTTAGGTGCCCAGCTGAAGCTCTAACCACTGAACCACACCAGCCAGGGCTTTACACTGAATTTTACAGAAACTCAACTCTCCTACATATCAAGGGAAGACTGGCTCAGCAACGTAGTGATTCTCCTACACGTGAGTGTCTGGCTCATCAATCCCGCCTTGCAGAACAATTGTGATTGTGCCTCGGCATTTCCATTAGAAATATCCATAATTTTATTATAAGGAACATTCTTTTTTTCTTATCACTTCCTTATAATAGAGTTTGGGTGTTATAGTGATTTAAAAAATATGAGTAGGTAGGTTTCAGGATGAATTTAAGGAGACACTACAAAAGATTTGCTATAAGAAGAGGCATGTGGGGTGACTGGGTTGAGAGCCTTGTTCTGGGTCCAGGCCTTGTTCTGGGCTCTAGGCCTCCAATGTCATCTGCCTTTGTCACTCAGCAGCCCCTTCCTCAAGTTCAGAACCAGAGCAGGTGGCCCACAGACAAGCCCCAGGTCCTGAGCCAGCTATTCCTCAGGAACTGAAGACCAGGAGAGGTGGTGATGGGATGTCAATCCACCCCTCCTCCTGCAGGAAGCTCCCTAGGGTCCCCACATTTCTTCGGGAGAGTGGGGCAGTGGGAAGCAGACAGCTGGGTGGCCAAGAAAGAGAAGTGAGGGGCTGAGGGCCTGGGCGCCTAAGGCAGGGAAAAAAAGGTTCCTTCAGGGAGGAGTTGGGGCCTGGACTCCTGGGTCTGAGGGAGGAGGGGCTGGGGCCTGGACTCCTGGTCTGAGGGAGGAGGGGCTGGGGGCCTGGACTCTTGGGTCTGAGGGAGGAGGGGCTGGGGGCTGGACTCCTGGGTCTGAGGGAGGAGGGGCTGGGGCCTGGACTCCTGGTCTGAGGGAGGAGGGGCTGGGGGCCTGGACTCTTGGGTCTGAGGGAGGAGGGGCTGGGGGCTGGACTCCTGGGTCTGAGGGAGGAGGGGCTGGGGCCTGGACTCCTGGTCTGAGGGAGGAGGGGCTGGGGGCCTGGACTCTTGGGTCTGAGGGAGGAGGGGCTGGGGGCTGGACTCCTGGGTCTGAGGGAGGAGGGGCTGGGGGCCTGGACTCCTGGGTCTGAGGGAGGAGAGGCTGGGGGCCTGGACTCCTGGTCCTGAGGGATGAGGGGCTGGGGGCTGGACTCCTGGGTCTGAGGGAGGAGGGGCTGGGGGCTAGATCCCTGGGACTGAGGGAGGAGGGGCTGGGGGCTGGACCCCTGGGACTGAGGGAGGAAGGGTGGGAGCATGACCTGGGCCTCCCTGGTGACCCCACCTTGGGGGGGGGGAAGTCAAGGACTTCCACTCACCTGAGTACGGATCCCTCTCGGAAGAGCTCGTCGTCGGCACTCACTTGGCCCCGGGGTGGCAGGAGTGCTGCCACCTGCCTGCTCTTGGCCTCCAGGTTGTGGAGGTAGACGATGAGAAAGTCCCGGGCACCCCCGCGACTCTNGGCCGCCCGCCGGGCTTGGGCCACCTCCCGCAGCAGCTGCGCGGTGCTGGGCAGCAGGTCCCGCAGCGACGGGGGACTCGAGGTGAGCCGGGGGTCCCCGCATTGCTCCTCCAGGCGCCGCAGCAGCTTCACCGCCCGGCCAAGCGAGCGGGCCTCCCCCCACTGCCAGCCCTGCGAGGCCGCGGCCGCAGCCATGGGCTCCCCGGGCGCCTTTCGAGGGAGGGACGGACGCGGGGAAAGGCGCAGCCCCGCCCAGGTCAGGTCGGGGGCGGGATCCGGGCCCAGAGGTGAGGGCGGGCCCTGGAGAACCTGGGAAGGGACGGCAGGTACCTGTGTCCCCAAAGAGGGCGGGGTCTGGGGCCCTGGCACCTGGGCTCCCTAGAGATAGGGTTCGAAAATCTGATCCCCAAAAGGACAACCGGATAGGGTGGCCTCGGTGGCTGGCGATAGGAGGTGATCCCCGCGCCGGAGAGAGTTGCGGGGAGGCTGCTGGGCCCGTTAGGGAGGGGCCGCGGGCTGGGTCCCAAGGTTGAAGGGAAGGGGGGCTGGCGCGGGAGGCGGGGGGTGACCTGGACTTGTGAAGG